CGACGACTTGTCGATGGATATTGATAAGCAGGCCAAGGTCTCCCTCCGTTTCACGGCACCGCCCGAGGGGTGCATGGGCTACCAACGCTTCCAGTATGACTCCCAGACGCTGGTTTTGCCCATCGCGGCGGGCAAGGTGCTGCCTCCCTGGGGGGAGGCCGCGCCTCTCAAAGTGAGCCGTCACATCCGCCTGCCGGGGGAGTGGACCATTTTCAGCGTGCGCATGGGAGACGGGGACTACCCAAAGACGGTGCACCCCTGGCCCGGGGGCCCGACGCTGCAACTTTACAAGCTGGTTGTGACGCTCAAGGAGGGCATCACTGGCCGCATGGGAGACCGGGTCGTCGCACGCGACTTCGACTTCGTCACCGGAGATGCGCTAGTGCCGCTGTGGGGCCTGCTCGGGCCTCGGGCGGTGCTGGAGGTGCGCACCGATGCCGACCCGGCCACGGAGCTTCGCGGACTGTGGCTCCCGCCAGACGGGATCGGCATGAAGACGCTCGCACCAGCATGACCGCGTTTTGCCCTGGACAGGAGGGACCCCCCCCCCCCCCCCCGCTCTCACACTTCTCTCTGCCAACGGGGGGCCTCTTTCCATGCATTTGCTCCGCGCTCGACCTCGAGCCATCTCACTCTAGTTAGAGACTCGTCTGCGTCTGCAGGGGCGTGGCTGCCTCTTTCTTTGTGCCGCACGAAACTACTCTCGTCCGTCGGAGTCTCCGTCCCTTCTCTCGTCCCTCTCGTCCCCATGTGCCACGTGAATGAAGGACGGGACTCTCGCGGGCCGGCGCCCAGAGGGGCAAGACCAAGAGCCGCAGACTCTGAGAGTAAGACTAAGAGCCGATTTGGGGATCGTTTCGCCGCGCGCAACTTCTCTCCACCACACACACAATACTTTACCTCACGGCGGGCATCAGCCACACGTACACACAACTCCCTACTCGGCGCCACGTTCCAACAAACGCCAATGACAATATCTGTCTCACGAGAGTGCTGCATATCACCCCCTCACCTCAGCGCGGTATTGGCTGCCGCTCCGGCGGCCGCGCCGGCCTTCGTGCTCCAGAAGGGCGTGCCATCCGGCAGGAGCACGTCCGACTTGTCCTTGCGCCGCGTCGGCTCGACGTAGAGCAGGCCCAGCTGGTCGAAGATGTCGCGCTCCTCGGGACAGCGCAGCGGCGCGAGGTTGGGCGGGCGGGGCGCCCGCGTGGGGTGGTTTGGAGGCAGCTTGAAGAGGCCGTCCGAGGAGAGGTAGTAGCCGAGCTCGCGCGCGGCGCGCGAGAGGAAGCGGTTGAACTGCGCGCTGCCGGTAAAGTGGATGATGGCGGCGGAGATGGTGGCGGAGGGATAGACCTTGATGTCGATGCGGCGGTGCTGCGTGTCCGGCCCGAGCCGCACGATGCCCATGTGCGTGGTGTGCGTGCCGTCCGGGTTGCCGAAGCCGCCCATGCCGGTCAGCTCGTGCACGAGGTAGCCCGATGCCT